AGCTCAGAGCAAGCCCAGAGGTTTAGAATATGTTGTTGTGGTTTCCCTCGGTTCTGGGGGACAAGGCCTGAGCTCCTCATGGCCGTGGGCTGGGATGAGTCAGGCACAAAGTGGCTGCCAAGGCCGGAGGTGGAGCAGCTGCTGTGCTAATGGGAACCAGGGACAGGGCCTGGGGAGGCCAGCTGAGGGGCTCGTACACTTCCAGGTGGTTATTGAGAAACCAACAAGAGCCTAGGGTGAGGGCAGCCTGGATGGCGAAGACTTCACAACCCTTGTTGCTGGAGCGATAGTGGAAGGCATTTGGGATCATCAGCCTGGTAGAAAGTTCTACATGTGGTTGGGATTGTACCAGGGGCAGAAAGAATGGATTATCTTTTTTCTCCAGGGCACTTAGCATTATCTATTTATTTTTTGGCATTGTGCATCTTCCCCACAGTGTGAGGGCCGGAACTGCTGGTATAAGGTCATTGGGTGCTGGCCCCTGGTGGATGCCGCTTCTTTGAAGGAGCGAAGGAACTGAATTTCCCATCTCATGATCTGTACATTTCCTGAGCTCTTGACCTCTGGGGCTGCGAGGGGCCCCAACCCTGCTGCCTGTTGAAGAATATCGGTGCTTGCACACTCCACAGCACGTGTGTCCACGCTGCAGCCTGTGGAGAGTCTAAGGGCTTGGCTGGATGTCTCCGTACCGACACACAGAGCAAGCAGTGCTCCAAGCAGCCCAGCACCGCAGAGTGTCCGGGGCCAGAAGGCAGCCTGGGTCAGGGAGACTCTGGGGTGAGTGTGTGGTTGGGAAGGGGGAGCGGTTGAAGAGATTCTGCAAGAAGCAATGTGGGCGAGGCTTGGCTGTCCTGGCGGCTGTGCTAGGCCTCCGTGTTGGTCCTGATATATCCCAGCTGCATGGCCGTGGACTGGACTCTTAATCCCTTCGTTAATGAACCTGACTGTGCAAGCTCTCAACTCCTCAAGCCCTTGCAATTTCAGGTTTCCCTAACGGGCAGTCGGTAGGGATCTCCAGAGTTCAGGTTTCAGAGCCAAGTGGGGGTCCACACTGGACTCCAGTGCCCCTCTTCCCTCTGGGCCCAGGCCTGGCCTGGCTCCTCTGCCCCAGGGGGTTGTCTCCCACTCAGGCCAGTCATCTTGACCCTTACTTTACTGGTGGTTGCATTTCTTCCTCTCCCACCTCCATTCTTTGCCTGCTTTCTGTCTTCCTTTTTTTTTTTTTTTTTTTTTGTAAGATTTTATTGGAAAGTCAGATTTACAGAGATCTGAGCTGATCCAGGTCTCCCACACGGGTGCAGGGTCCCAAGGCTTTGGGCTGTCCTCGACTGCCTTCCCAAGTCACGAGCAGGGAGCTGGATAGGAAGTGGGGTGGCTGGGACATGAACTGGTGCCTATATAGGATCCTGCTCATGCAAGATAAAGACTTTAGCCACTAGGCTACCGCGCTGGGCCCAGTCCTTTCTTTCTGATTAATGTAGGGGCAGGCAATACCACTGGCTGGCATCCCATAAGGGAGCCAGTTCATATCTCAGCTGTTCCACTTTTGATCCAGCTTCCTGCTAATGATCTGGGAAAAATAGCAGAAGATGGTTCAAATATTTGGGCTCCTATATCCATGTGGGAGACCCGGAAAAAGCTCCAGGCTCCTGGTCTCAGACCATTGTGGCCATTTGGGGAATGAACTAGCAGATGGAAGATCTCTCTCTCTCTCCCTATCTCTGCTTCTATCTGTAACTCTGACTTTCAAATAAAAATAAACTTATTGGGTCAGCTTCTGCTGCTTTCCCAAGCATATTATCAGGGAGCTGGGTCAGAAATGAAAAAGTTGGGACTCTAACAGGTGCCCATATTGGGTGCTAGCACCACAGGTGGAAGCATAATCTACTATAACACTATGCTGTCCCCATAAATGCATTTTTTAAAAAAATAAAGTGTATTTATTTGAAAGGCAGAATCATGGAGAGAGAGAGAGAGAGATCTGTCCATAAGCTCACTCCCCAGTTGGCCACACCTACAGGGAGCTGGATGGGAGATGCGGCAGCTGGAACTAAAACCTGCCTGCATGACGAGAACCTACTGTGCCACAACTCTCTCTTTAATATTTATTTTCATTGGAAAGGCAGATTTACAGAGATAGGGAAAGACAGAGAGAAAGATTCCATTTGCTGGTTTATTCCCCAAATGGCTACAACAGCTGGAGCTGAACTAATTTGAAGCCAGGGACTTCTTTCCAGGTCTCCCAAGTGGGTGTAGGATCCCAAGGACTTAGGCCATTCTCCACTACTTTCCCAAGCCATAAGCAGGGGACTGGATTGGAAGTGGAACACCCAGGACATGAGTCAGTGCGCATATGGGATGCTGGCACCCACCAGTGGAGAATCAGCCAATGAGCCATTGTGGAAGCTCTATTGTCTTTGTCCTTGTCTTTGTCCTTTTTTGTTTTCCCTCTTCCTTCCTGCCTGTCTCTCACTGAGATGGACATAACCTAGAATGAACCATTTGCAAGTGAACAAGCCAGTGACAGTGAACTCAATGCCCTACCCCCTCTAATGTCACACCATCACCTGCCCCAAGAGCATCTGTGCCGCCACCCCAGCCCTTGCTCCGTCCCTTCTCTGCTCTGTGCATTTTCCTCCTCTCAGTGTCTGTGAGGTTACCCCTTTCCCTCACCTCATGCGTGCATGGAAACTGCACTTCAGTACCCCGTACCTCTCGGCTGGTTCCAGGAAGGGCGTGGAAGCACCGTCTGTTCCTCTCTGTCTAGCAGTCCCTGTGGACGCGGCCTATTTCTCTGCTCACTTCCTGTAGGCGTGCCACTACAGACCCAGATTGAAAGCTGTGGGCTCTGGAGACCCACCTGGGAGTGGGCTGCTGGGTCAGGGAGAATTCCATGTGTCACTGTGTCACAGTGTGGGGCATGGCCATGCTGTGACTGAGATCCTTAGAAGTGAAAAACAGCAGGTGGAACAGCTCTCTTTCTCTCTCATCTCTCAAGTAAATAAAACAAATCTTTAACAAAATGAAACAAAGAAATGATACCTACACAGCCAGGAGGCAGATGGTCTTTAATGGGAACAGAGAGGTAAAGTCCCCTGCCCAAGGTCACACAGCTTGTGAGGGTCAGAAGCAGCACAAGAACCGAGTTTCTTCCTGCCTTTCGAGTCTCAGCACTTAGTCGCCATCTCCCTGGGAACAAAATTGTTATCTTAAAATTTTTTTTTTTAATTTACAAAACAAAATGACAGAGAAAGCCTGAGGGATGCAGTGAGAGAATGATCTTGCACCACTGGTTTACTCCCCAAATACTTACCACAGCTTGGGTTGGGCCAGGCCGCAGCTGGGGGCCCAGGGATACATCAGGGGGTCCCACAAGCATGGCAGGGACCCATGACCTTGGACCATTGTCTGCCATCTCCTCGACACGTTAGCAGTGGAGGTGGGTCCCTGTATGCAGCACCGTCCTCCCAAGTGGGCACTGTGGGTTCCATCCCTACTTTATGTGCATCTTAAATTCTGCTCGAGCTGGAAGCCCTTGGGGAGCTGCAGCACATGCAGATTCCAATTTGGGGGGCTTTGGGGTTGGGCCTGGGAGCCTGCATTTCAGGCACGCTCCCTGCCAGTATTGCTGGGCCTGGGGTACACTCTGAACAGCACAGTTCTAAAAAATCCCTCCTGGGCCCAGTGCAGTGGCTGAGTGGCTAAAGTCCTCGCCTTACACATGCCAGGATCCCATATGGGCACTGGTTCTAATCCTGGCAGCCCCGCTTCCCATCCAGCTCCCTGCTTGTGGCCTGGGAAAGCAGTCGAGGACGGCCCAAAGCTTTGGGACCCTGCACCCGTGTGGGAGACCTGGAAGAGGTTCCTGGCTCCTGTCTTTGGATTGGCACAGCACCGGCTATTGTGCTCACTTGGGGAGTGAATCATTGGACGGAAGATCTTCCTCTCTGTCTCTTCTCCTTTCTGTTTATCTGACTTTGTGATAAAAATTCAGCAGCTCTGTCAGGCAGGCCCAGCAGAGTTGTTCTGGGGCGCCCCTTAGTAGCCGCCCAGATGCTGTGCTCAGGGCTTACACTGCTGGGCTTCACCCATCCCTTCGGGAACCCTGTGAGAAAGGTTCCTCAGGGAGCCAAGGCTTTCCTAGGACCTGCTCACTGTGGGCAGCGTCTAGACTTTTGAGTCAGAGATGGCCCTGGGAATTTCTGAGTCCTGCTGTGGAGAGCAACACTCGGAGAGCTGGCTCTCTCAGGAATGAACCCTGGGTCCTCCATGTGCCAGAGCTGTGGGGCCCAGCACATGAGGCCAGGAGCTGTGGGCCCGGCTGGGAGTCCCTCTTATGAGGTTGAGATCTTGGGGCTGGAGCCTAGTGCAACAGTGTTGTCCCTGAAATTCACCTTTTGCCATCTTGGGCAAGGCAGCTAGGACTGGGAGGCTGCTGTCTGGGCATCACAGCCTCAGAGTATGGCCTCTGTCCTGGGCCCTCATTTCCTACACTTGAGTAAGTTCTGGCCAGAGCCAAGGAGCTCTGTCCCTGGGGTTGTTGCCTGAGCCCCGGCCTTTGGACCCCAGGCTGCACTGGCTCCCCATTCTGCTATTGCCTTGGCCCCCAGAGCGCGGCACAGAGCAGGCCTTAGAGGAACTGGGCTGTGTGGGCATCCTGTGGCAGAGCCAGCTGTGGAGGGCAGCCTCCCCGTGGGCAGGGCTGGCCTTGCCCTTTGGGAGCATCGGGTCCTACAGGAAAGGCAGACATGGATGCAGCAAACAGAAGAGGCAAGTGCTTGGTGATTTCTGGAACTGAGAGAAGCCTAGCAGGACTGTAATACAGAGAGCAGGGGAGACCACTGGGCACTGGGAAGGGAGGAAGTGTCAGGTAACAGCTGAATCCAGGGACGTACAGAGAATCCCGCCAGCAAGTCAACACAGACCCAGGCTCCACAACTCCACAAGCTTTAGGTATGGTTGTTGTCCTTATATTCACAATATAGCTATTGGAGCTCCAGCCATTGTGTCTTCATCCCCAAGCAGGAAGAAGAAGGGACAAATAATCAAACCGGATCTTTCTTAAAAAGCTTCACTCAGACTTGGAGCGGACACCATTAGCCAGCCCATGTCATGCAATGACCTTTGCGAAATCCAGGGAATTGCCTTCTTACATGGTAGCACTGTGTTATGCTAGCTACAAGGTCAGGCGTTCTGTTGGTAAAAGGAAGAGGGAAATGGATGAGGGTTGGGTGGGGACGGTGTCTGCCCCCAGGGCCTGTGGCCTGAGATGGAGCACAGCTGGGGAGTCACAGAATGTTCCTAGCGGGTGGCAGGCGCCTTTGGCAACGTGCCCATGGGCATGCCTGGTAGTTTCTTAGGGATGCAGGGATAAGTTCCCACAAATCTGTTGGCTTACAAACAATAGCGATTCCTGCTCTCCCAGCTCTGAGAGCTGGAAGCCAGACACAGCAGTTTTCCACACGGGGCACCGTCAGCGGGCCTGCATTGCTTCTGCCAGCTCTGGCCGGCTCCAGGAACTCCGGGCTGCTCTCGGACTGTGAACCCACCCGGGCGTTCCTGCCCCTGGCAGCCCACAGCCCGCCTCCCAGGGTCTCTGTGCATTATCTCCTCTTTGTCTAATCGGTGCACTTGCTGCTGGCTTCAGGTCCAGCCTAATAGGGAGGACTTGTCTGCTTGATTCCTCCAATAAGATTTTCCAAATAAGGTCACACCCACGGATCCTGGGGGGAAAAACTAGAACTTGCCTTTCTGGGGATATACAATTTAAAATTAAAATGTTTAAAGACTTATTTATTTATTTATTTATTGAGAGGGATAGCTACAGAGAGAGAGAGAGAGATTGTATCAGCTGATTCACTCCCCAGATGACTGGAGCTGGGCAGGTCTGAAACCAGGAGCTTCTTTCAGGTTCCCCATGTGGGTGCAGGGACCCAAGCACTTGGATTGTTCTCTGCTGCTTTCCCGATGCATTAGCAGGGAGCTGGATTGGAAGCGAAGTAGCAGGAATTTGAACTGGAGCCCATAGGGGATGCCAGTGCCACAGGTGGAAGCTTTGCCTGCTATGCCACAATACTGACTCCCTAAAATTAAATTTTTAAAATAAAGTATTTCAGGGGCCAGTGCAGTGGTGTATCAGGCTAATCCTCTACCTCCAAGTGCCAGTATCCCATATGGGCCAGTTCTAGTCCTGGTTGCTCCACTTCTGATTCACTTCCCTGCTAATGTGCCTGGGAAAGCGGTAGATGATGATTCAAGTCCCTGATTCAAGTCCACTCACATGGGAGACCCAGAGGAAGCTCCTGACTCTTAGCTTCAAGCTTTAGATCAGCTCGGCTCTGACCACTGCAGCCATTTATGGAATGAACCAGCAGATGTAAGACTTGTCTCTCTCTCTCTCCCCTTCTTTATTTTTAAAATCTGCCTTTCAAATAAAAATACATGAATCTTTTTTTTTTAAGATTTATTTTATTTTTATTGGAAAGGCGAATATACAGAGAGGAGAGACAGAGAGGAAGATCTTCCGTCCGATGATTCACTCCCCAAGTGAGCGCAATGGGTCGATGCTATGCCAATCCGAAGCCAGGAGCCTCTTCCGGGTCTCCCACGTGGGTGCAGGGTCCCAAAGCTTTGGGCCGTCCTTGACTGCTTTCCCAGGCCACAGGCAGGGAAGGGAAGGGAAGCAGGGCTGCCGGGATTAGAACCGGCGCCCATACGGGATCCCGGGCGTGCAAGGCAAGGACCTTAATCACTGCGCCATTGCGTCGGGCCCATAAATCTTTTTTTAAAAGGAAAAAAAAAAAGCTGAGGGCCTGGCACAATAACATAGTGGCTAAATTCTTGCCTTGCTACTGCTGGGATCCCATATGGGAGCTGGTTCATGTCCTGTGGGGTAATGTAATTAGAAGCAATAGGGGCTGCCCCAGGGACCCCACAGGCTCCAGGGTTGGGGTTCTGTCTGAGGAGTTCCAGATTGTTGGGAGCAGAGTTAGATGGCCCCACAAGTATTTCAGCATTTACTTCTTTTTTATTTCATTGGGAAGACAGATGGGTAAACAGAAAGCTTCCATCTGCTGGCTCTTTTCCCAAATACCTGTGCTGGGCCAACCTGAAGCCAGGAACCCAGAACTCAGTCTGGATCTCCTACATGGCTGGCAGGGACCCAAGTGCCTGGGCCATCACCTGCTGCCTCCCAGGGGACAAAGTAGTGGGAAGCTGGAAGTGGAGCCAAGCCACAAGGCAACTCCAGACACTGATGTGGGTTGCAGGCCTCCCAAGCAGCATTTTAACCATGGTATCTAATGGCTGCCTGAGGTTGGGGTGACTGCACTCCCAGGGTGGTGTGGGGGGGCGGACAGACAGTCTGGAGGAAGGGCATGAGGCCATGGCAATGGAAATGACAGTCCCCTGTCCCTCTCCGTGTCTTCACTCCTTGTGCCCAGTCCACTCCATCTGCCCCTACCCCCAGGTCCCCAGGGTGTGTCAATTACCAGTGGAACATCTGTCTCCCTGTGGGTGGCAGGGCTGGAGCCCACATCCCTGCTGTGCCCAGGGAAGCTGGCCACTTGGCAGGCACAGCACAGTCTGTCATGCCACGTGTGTCCCACAGCTGCCGGGGGCCTGCGTAGTGACCCACAGAGCCCTGGATTCCATGTAGGTCAGCAGCCCCGTCTCTGTGCCCTACTCCACCACTGCTGCCAGCTGTCTCCCGGTCCCCTTCAAACCCTGGCCCGAGTGGGCATCTGCAGGAGATACACTCCTCTCCCTGCAAGGACTGCACTTGCTCATTGTCCCCTCTCAGGCTCACGGTAGTGGCTCGGAAATGAACCCCAATCCTTGCTCCCTCTTCTCAAGTGGGGTGTTCAATGAGGATTTAGTGTCATCTCCGACTCAGAGTCTGTGGCTGCTCTCAGAGAGACTGCCAAGCTCAAGGGCAAGCCTCTGCCGTTAGCCAGGCATCCTCAGAGGTTGTTGTTCCTTTTTTTCAAGTTCATGGACAATGTCCCCCTTTCCACCTCAATCAGGGACATACCTGGAGGTGACAGCTCAGACTGGAGCCTCCTGTTACTCTATTAGGCTCCTGGCTGGGCTGGGCTTTGGGCATGTCCTGAAGGGACTCAGGCTGCAGGATGAGGCCCTGGCTGGGCTGGCAGTGGCTGGGCTGGGCCTGGGCATGGAGGGTGTGGATGGCTGAGTCATGGCTAGAGGCCAAGTTGAGCCTGGGGGTGGGAGTGGAGGGTGGCGGGCTGCCAGCCCAGGGCCACAAGCTCAGTCCCTTACGAAGGGCAGCAACGTTGTCTTGCCTGTGGAAATCTGCGTTGGGTGGAGCAGGTGTGGTTCTAGCCATTCACCTGCCCTGGGATTTCTCTTGGGTACCGGCAGGAAGACAACCACAGCTACTACGTGTCGCGGGTATATGGCCCCGATGAACCCCGAAGCCAGGAGCTGTGGGTGGATGTGGCCCAGGCAAACCGGAGCCAAGTGCGGGTACACCGAGTCCTCTCCAACACCCACCGACAAGCGTCTGTGAGTGCCCCTGCCCCTGGTGGGAAGCCCTGGGCCGGAAGGTGGGGGCTGTCTTAATGCTACTGGGAGAGCGGCTATAGCTGTGGCAGGGCTGCAGTTGTCGTTGGGGACAGCCTTTGCAAGAGATCCCAAGGCTCGGCCAGAGCAGGGAAAAGAGGGATGCCAGCCTGTGGTCCTAGGCCCTGCCCTGGGTGTGCTTGCCCCCACTGTTTACAGACAAGTGTGGTGCTGTATGGGGGCTCTGCCTGTGCTGACTTCTACCTGTACCCTCAGAGAGTGGTCTTGTCCTTCGAATTTCCTTTTTATGGGCATCCTTTGCGGCAGATCACCATAGCAACTGGAGGTAAGTCTGGCTCTGCGGGGCCTGAGGGAGGGCTGAGAGATCTTGGCCTGAGCTCACTTGGGACAGGAACCAACTGATAGCTATGTTGGAAGCCCCGGAGATAGCAGATAACTCCCTCATCTCAGCTGACTGGGTGTATGTGTGCGTGTGTGTGTGCATGCACATGTACATATGTGCTGGACCAGTGTGAGCAGTGCTGGGATCCCTGTGTTTCAGAGTCCTTAAACAAGGGGACAGAGAAAGGGAGACCCATACTGAGACTGTCTGTCCCTGGTGCTGGGCTCCCGGTAGGGACAAGGAGCCATCAGATCCTGTGCACCATAACTACACCTGCTACTTCCCCAGGGATGGGTGGAGGGATGGGGAAAGCCTTCCTCGCCCTGGGCGCTTGGTCCTTCACATCCCAGACCAGGGGTCCTAGACCCATCTGGAGTAGCCCTGCTGCCCTCCATCCAGCAGGAGACCCCCTACACACACCCAGAGGCATCTCCCAGCACCATCTCAGGGGGCTCCTTTGTACCACTTGTGCCTTAGGCTTCCTCTTCATGGGAGATGTGACCCACCGGATGCTCACGGCCACGCAGTACGTGGCCCCTTTGATGGCCAACTTCAACCCTGGTTACTCCAACAATTCCACAGTTGCCTACTTGGACAATGGTGAGACCAGACCTCTTAGTTGAAGTCTCTCAGCTCCAACCATCTTCTTGATCCAGCTCCTTTGGAGGAGCTGAAGCTCAGGGTAGGCAAGGGACTTGCCCATGGTTCAATGGCCAGGCAACTGTTCCACCTTTTCTGGGCTTAGTTTGCTCATCTGTAAGATGGGTACAAAAGGCCTGCTGTCCACAGAACTTCATGGGATAACAACATGGGAGAGCCTGGCACTTAGCAGGGGTAAGAGGAGGGGCTGTATTCCTCCTCACTGTGCCCAAGTGGTCCCCCAGCACCACCTGTCGCAGGAAAGCCTTTTTCTCTCATTTCTCATTTTTGTCTCAAGGGAGCAGGTTGGGTGAGAAGGAAGGATGTGAGTGGCCTAAGGGATGGTCGAGTCCACTGTCCAGACACTGACACGGGGCTTCTCTCCAGTTTGGAAGCAAGGCTGATGTTTCGGGGTGGGGGCACCATTTCCTGAGCCCTTGGGTTTGTGACTCTCCGGCCGTGCCCACTGCTGCAGGGCTGACTGTGCAGCCTGGCGTCTCACCCTCCATGCAGCCTGGTACTGCTCTGCTCCGTTTTGCAGGGACAGTCTTTGTGGTGCAGTGGGACCATGTGTACCTCCAGGGCTGGGAGGACCGTGGTAGCTTCACCTTTCAGGCAGCCCTGTACCGCGACGGCCGCATCGTCTTTGGCTACAAAGAGGTGAGCTGGACCTGTTGTGGGAAGGGCTGGGGCTCGGAGGCCTGTGGGCAGCAAGCAGTTGGGGAGAGCTATGGCATATCGGGGCCTAGGACTCGATGCGGGGTCCTGTACTCTGGTCAAGACATAGACAGAAATGGTCGGGCTTAGGGAGACATCGCTGTAATGGGTGCTCTTCACAGGTGCTGCTTGGTGCTGGTGGGAACCTCCCACAAGCTCTACACCTTGCCAGGGTCCCGGGGGGTGGGGAAGCATGGAAATCTGCAAGATGCATAGGAGGTGAAGAGCCCAAGAGGAGCAGAAACTGTGTCCCTGGAGGGAGAATGGCATACTCAGAGGCCTTGTGGCAGGACCTTGTAGGGCTGCAGGGGAACAGGGAGGGTGGCGGGGCACAATCAGCTTGGCTTTCGAGAAAGGCATCTCCAGCTTGAGAGCAGAGAACAGGTTGTTGGGGTGCTCAGAGGACATGCTGGGTGGTGATTTGGGGGTAGAGATGACAGTAGCTTCGAGCTGGGATTGGACAATTGAGCAAATGACGTAACCAGATGTGGAGATAAGGGTGGGAGGAGAGGAATGAGAGGGTGACCCTGGGCTTGTGGCCCGCACAAAGGTGCAGGGAGCCTCAGGGTTTGGGTGGAACACACTGGGGTGCAGGTGCCTTGAGTCCTTCCAGGGGTGACACGGAGCAGGTGTGGAGGGGAGGGCAGGGCTGGCCAGCAGATTTGGGGTGGACACAGCCGCTTCTTCCACTACAGATCCCCATGTCTGTCCTGGAAATCAGCTCCTCCCAGCACCCCGTGAAAGCCGGCCTGTCAGATGCCTTCATGCTTTTCACCCCGGCCCTTGACATATCAGGTGAGTTTCCTCAGCAGTGTTCAGCAGGCCGGTGGGGGCCAGTGGGGCCAGAGGTGCAGGAAGGAAGGGAGGTACAACCAGGACCCAGCAGAAGTGTTTTTCTACAAAAACGCAGGAGACGCTGCTCTGGCTGGTGAGGGGGCAGGAACCAGAGTCCTTGTGATCTGTTCCCTTTAGAAACCCCCCAGAGTGTCACAGTGTGGCCTTTGAGTCCTCCTAGGTAACAGCCCCTGTGGCCTTGCCACCCCAGTAAGCAGTGGGGAGAATCTAGCCTCAGCCAGGATGTCACCTCTGGCTTCGATTCTTTCCTCTGTCAAATGGGGGCAGGAACTGGAGGGCTGCTCCTCCCCAGCTCTTCCTTTATCACTGACATTTTGAGGGTGATGAATGAAGTTGCTGGGCCCCTGCTACCCATGTCAGAGACCTAGGCTGCATTCTGGGCTCCTGGCTTCACCCCAGCCTGGCCTTTGGGGAATAAACCAGCGGATGAAGTTATTTGTCTGTCTACCTCTCAAATCAAAAAGCAACAAATGACCAAACAGAACTTCCCATACCATACCTTATGACTCAAGATTTTACAACTCAGCCAGAGACTGGGATAAATTGTTGCAAACACAGCAGGGCTAGCTGCTGGCCTCCCACTTGGGAGACCCAGCTGGAGCTCCTGACTCCAACCTGGTCCAGCCCTAGCTATTGCAACCATCTGGGGAGTGAGACAGTAGATAGGAGCCCTCTGTCTCTCTGCCTTACCAATAAATAAATGAGTAAATAAGTAAAGAAATGAATGAATGAATGGATGAATCAAATTGAGGGTCCCTATGCCTGGGGAGGTGGGGTGACGTGCCTGAGGTCACACAGCTTTGGATGGAAGCACTCAAACCCAGACCTTCCCTGTTGAAATCTTGAATGTGCCTGAAGCCCTCCCTGCTCTCCACCCCTCCCACCCAGAGGGGTGACCCCAGCTGCCCAGACACCCACAGCCCTAAGAGGACCCCAGGCCGCCTCTCAGGGCACCTCTGGGTGTCCAGTCCTCACATGCCCCCTTCCGTGTCTCATGCACTTGAATGAACCCACAGGTCGGGGGAGGGATTGCTCCTGGGAGCCTCCCCCTCCTTCCCCTTCTCCACTCCTCCCTGAGCGAGGCCGACTCTCAGGACACTCCGTGAAGCTGGCTGTTGGATGAGGGTCAAGTACAGGAAGTCAGATCCCAGAGATTCCCATGAGGCCGCTCAGCAATTCCACAATGAAAGGCTGTTTGAGAGCGATCAGGGGAGGTGTGGTCAGAAGGCACAGTGCAGGGGCGTGACCACCTGAGACAATGCAGGCTGTGCCTTCGCTCTTTGCTCTGCTCTCAGTGGTGGGAGGGGCAGCTGTGGGGTCCTTGTCTCCAGGTGCTCTTGCTAAGGTATCCGATCCACCTGCCAGGTGAGAGAGCCGGCACCTGGCCCCAGACGCTGCCCAGTAGCTCTGTGTCCTCTTCCGTCTTTCTTCTGTCCTCCATTTCTTTTTGTTATTTCTGGATTTGATCCTGCCAATTCCTGGCTTCAGGCCTCCTACAGGATGCAAAATCCTCAGTGGACACAGTGGGTCAGCCAGACTTCCCTCCCATTCAAGCAGCTCTGGTCTGTGGTCCCCATGTTCTGTGAACAGGCCAAGGGCTATCCACACCTTTGGGACACAATTCCCTTGTGGAATGTTTTTGTGCCCCAACTCTTTTTAGCCTCTTGGCAGCATTCTACCCATTTCTTGGTCCAGCTCCTGCCCCCCAAGTGCATCCTTGGGCACCAAGCAACACCTCTGCAATGACATGAACAAATTCATGAACCATGAATGGAAACTCTTTCCCAACCCACTTTCTGGGCTTTCTTTTTAAGATTGATTTATTTATCTGCAAGGCAGAATTACAAAGAGAGAGAAAGACAGAAACAGAGATTGTCCATCCGTTTGGTTCACTATCCAAATGGCCACAGCAGTCAGGGCTGGGCCAGGTTGAAGCTAGGAGCCAGGAACTTCATCTGAGTCTCCCATGTGGATGCAGGGGCCCAAGCACTTGGACCGTCTTCAGCTGCTTTCCCAGGTGCATTCGCAGGAATCTGGATCGGAAGTGAAACTGCCGGAATATAAACCAGATCCATATTTTATGTTAGCATCGTGGGTGGCAGCTGTACCTGCTATACCACAGTGCCAGCCCTGGGACGTTTTTAAAGTGGCTGGGCCTGTCTCCTGCCTTCTGATCAAACCAGGGCTATCCCACTGACAGATGGTACTGAATTACATTCAAGCCTCTGACATGCTGTGCCAGGACACTCAGTTCTGGCCCCTTTATTTCTGAGTCTGTGATGAGTGAGGTTGAGAGAAATCAGAAGGTCTCCGGCAGCCAGTGGCATGGCCTAGAGGCTGCCTGGTCCTTCCAGAAGGCTCTGTTAGTCACAAGGATGGACGTCACAGGCGGGCTGGCCCCACACGTGGGTAAAGGAGCCCACAGACCACTAACTCAGGCTGAGCAGCCTGGCACAGCACGGACTATGTTTATTAAAAGCTAAAGTAGGTGCACGTCACACCCTCAACTGAGTTAGTGTTTTCAATTAGAGATATTGCCACACCCATCCTGGCCCTTCCTGCCACTGCTTGAGTCCCACCTGGTTGGCAGAGCCACGCTGAGGTCCTGCTACCAGACTGTGGGACCCCTTCCCAGCTCTGCTCCCAGCCCATAGTCAGAGGCTCACCTACACCTAGTGGGAGCTTTCTTCTTTTTATGCATTTTAAAAACATTTATTTATTAATTTGAAAGACACAGTGACAGAGAGCGGTCTTTCATTTATTAGTTCACTCTCCAAATGATCACACAGCTAGGGCTGTGCCAGGCAGATTCCAGGATGCCCGCTGGGTCTCCTTTGTGGGTGGCAGGGGCCCAAGCATTTGGGCCATCATCTGCCCACACCAGCTGGGAGTGGAGAACTGGCTCTGAAGCAGAGTAGTTGGGAATTGAACCTGTACTATAATATGGGATGCCAGCAAAAAGGTCATAAGTGGCGGCTTAACCCACTGCAGCCCCGGGCTAGCCTGGGGGTGAGCCTTCCAGGAGCCCTGCCTTTTAGGCAGCTGCTCGTGCTGCTCCTCAAAACCTTGGGCCTGGTGCGGTAGCCTAATGGCTAAAGTTCTAGCCTTGCATACACTGGAATTCCATATGGACATCAATTCTAATCCTGGTGGCCCTGCTTCCCATCCAGCTCCTTGCTTGTGGCCTGGGAAAGCAGTCGAGGCTGGCCCAAAACATGGGGACCCTGCACCTGCGTGGGAGACCCAGAAGAAGCTCCTAGCTCCTGGTTTCAGATTACCTGACCATTGCCATCACTTGGGAAATGGACGGAAGATCTTCCACTCTGTCTCTCCTCCTCTCTGTATATCTGACTTTCCAATAAAAATAAATAAATCTTAAAAAAAAAAAAAAAAGATCAGCTCCCTTAACAAGCAGCTGTTTTCTGCAAAGGGGTCTCAACCCCTGTGCCTTTTTGGTTCCTACTTCCCTTCCTTCTGACCGCAGGCAGTCTCTCCCTGAACCCTTGCCGGTGCCTGAGCCCTGCACACCAACTTCCTTTCTGTACCTGTGCCTGTCTGTGGCCATTTGGGGTTGCTTTTGGAGAAGGGTCTCACTCTGTGGTTGTGTTTCGGGGGCTGGCCACGGGCTGACCTGGGGAGTTGCTGAGGTTTCCTTGACTCCTGGTTTCTTGTTTCCTTCAGTCATTTCTCTTCTGAAAACTCTAACTGCTTAGTTGAAAAATCAGAAAAACCAGCAGAGATCTGCCACCTACCGGTCACTCCCAAATGCCCGCCGCTGCCAGAGCTGGCCTAAGCTGACCTCAGTCTGAGTCTCACATGTGGGTGGCAGGGACCCAATGAAGTCACTGCCCACTAGGATGGGCATAGCAGGTCACTGGATGACAAGCTGAGCTGGGACCAAAACCCAGGGGCTCTGATGTGGAGTGGGGGCATTGGAAGTGACAGTACGGCAGTTTTACTGAACACCCACCCCCACAGGCATTCCTTGGGGCCCGGGCCGTGTGTGACCCTGCTAGGTGCCTCTGGGAGCTCCAGGTCTGGGGTGTGTGTTGGGGTGCAGATAGGGTTGCCAGAGTAGAGACCCAGCAGTGTGACAGGTGACTTTGGATACCACAGAGAGCATGTGGCGCTCAGGGGATAGGTTTCTGGCCCTGCCCAGGGCTGGGGAGGTTTGCCAGGTAGGGCTGCCATCTGGGCTGAGCCTGGCATGGTGCGGCTGAGGAAGGAGGACCACAGGCCTGACATGGCAGAGCTTTGGGGGTGGGTCATCATATATCTCTTGTCATCCCATCCTCTTTGCTGCTGTAAGAGTTGTGGGAGGGGACGGAGCTGTGGAAGGGAGCCTTTCCCATCACCCAGCACGCAGTGCCCGGACCCCAGGCTGTCTTCCAGAGTCTGGAACTCAGGGGAGGGGATGACATGTGAGTGACAGAGGGCACCCTTGCTCACCCCAAGCCCTGTGGGACTTCTCTTGCTGGGCACAAGGGCTTTTACTTACATATAAACCCTGTGTGTGAGCGCATGTGTTTGAGTATGTGTGCCTGCTTGTGCATATGTGAGTAGGGGCATGTGGCCCTCCCGCCCTGCTCTTCCCTCCATGGGGGGCTGTCTTTTAGGACCACAGTGACCCTGTACCCACTGTCACTGTCTGGTGCTCCTGCCCACTGGTCTCTTCTCTCTTGGAGTCAGGACTGTTTAGGAGAAAAATAAACCCGCAACCCCTGAGTTGCTTTAATGTTTGCTAGATGATTTATTATTTTAAAGAAGAGATGTCGGTGCTTCCCTTGGACTCTTTTCCTAGTACAAATAAGGACACTGCTGCCTCTGGGCAGTGCTGGGGGACCCGGGTGCAGATGGGCGCCAGCCAGCCAAGCCTTCTCTTCCTAACTCATGACTCCCGGTGGGTACTGGCGCCAGCCAGGCAGGGCACGCGGCCACCAATGAAAGTTTGGCCCTCTCACCCCGAGTCTGACTTTAAGTGTGACTTCAGCAGAAGTGACAGGTCCCTGTGGTCCTGTGGGAAGGGCAAGCAGGGAGCGGCCCAGGGCACCTGAGTGGATGTGGAGACAGGTGTGTCCTGCGTGTGGCACAGTGCCGAGCTCTAGTGCCCTGGAGGGAGCAGGTGTCCAGCTCTGCGTGTCGGGTGAGTGAGTGAAGGTGAAGTCAGGTCGTGCTGTGCTGTCGAATGAGTTTTCTCACTTCAGTGACGCTCTCTGCTGAACTCTTAGAAAATTAGGATGTATGGCTTGAAGTATTCCTGGTCGTTGAGTTAATCTCCCTGAACCTCAGCTTCCCTATTTGTGAAGTGAGGGACAGAGAAACTTAAATTTTAACAAAATAATTCTTTATTTTAAAGAAGAGTTACAGAGAGAGTGATATATATAGAGGTCTTCCATCCATTGGTTCCCTCCCCCAAGGCTGGGCCCAGGCCGAGGCGAGGAGCCAGGAACTCTACTGGGATCTCCTATGGTGCATTAGCAGGGAGCTGGACCAAAAGTGGAGCACTGGGACTACACCAGGGCTCATAGGGAATGCCACAGGTGAAGGCTGAACCCATTCCACACCAGCGCTGGCCCCTGGAAATTCAACTCATGACTCCTCTTGCTGCTATAGCATTTCAGGCGCAGGTCTCGCGGATGTAAGTTCATGCTGTGTTCCACGGCACGTAGGCAGCTACCAAAGCCAGAGCAGCCTGCTTGTGGTTCGCTCAGGATATTGTTCTAAGGTTTTGGGGGCAGTGCGTGTCAGGGATAGACACATACTGGTTGAGAGCCTGGTCAGCATGGTACGGCAGGGGACATTCTCCTTGTTTCTTTCTTTCTTTCTTTCTTTCTTTCTTTCTTTCTTTCTTTCTTTCTTTCTTTCTTTCTTTCTTTCTTTCTTTCTTTCTTTCTTGTCAGGATAGCATCTTTTATTTATTTATTTATTAAAGATTTATTTATTTTTATTGGAAAGGCAGAATTACAGAGAGAAGGAGACACAGAGAAAGATCTTCCAATGACTGGTTCACTCCCCAAATGACTGCAACGTCTGGAGCTGAGCTGCTGAGGAGTTTCTTCTGGGTTTGCCATGTGGGTGCAGAGTCCCGAGGACTTGGCCATCCTCCACTGCTTTCCCAGACCACAGTCAGGGAGCTGGATGAGAAATGGAGCAGCGGGACATGGACTGGTGCCCATATGGGATGCTGGTGCTTATAGGAGGAGGTTTAGCAAATTGAGCCATTGTATAGGCCTGTCTCTCTTATAGTCTTCACATGGGAAAGAGGGCAGAGGAAGGGGCCTAGGCAGCCTGCATAGGGCCCCTTCCTCCTGTGAAAACCCCACCCTGTTGGAGCTTCTCCTGCAAATGAGAAACATCCCCCCGCCCTTACACACACACACACACACACACACTCACACAATAGTTGCTGATTGAAACCAGACTCCCCAGCAAGAGGGCACACTGGGGAATGCAGAAGTGGACCCACATCCACAGGAAGAGGCTGCTGAACTGGAAAGTCAGCACAGGTCAGGTCCCAGCACTCTGGAACCAGGAATGTGCTCAGCACTTCCTGTATCTCTCCAGGAAGTGGTTTCCTTCTCTGGCTCCCCTCAGGCCTGGCCATTCACAGATGTCCAATTCATGTATTCTCAACTTCTCTATCAGAGAGCACAAGGCCTCTTGGGGACAGTGGAAAAGTCCCAGGGAAGCTATCTGATGGGTGCCACCTTGAATCAATCACCATGTGATGCCCCCCTCCACTCCAGGAGGCAGGATCCTGGCAAGAGATTTGGCTGTGATGCAGTCTCCATGGGACTGGGAATGGGCTGAGCACAGTTTCCCCAAAGGAAGGAGTGTTCCTTTGCCTTTGAGAAACTAATTAGCCTAGCTCAGTACCACCGGCTGCTGCGGCCTTGCACGGCAAGAGGAGAGCAGCGCCGGCCCACGCTCCTGGCAGGTGTGGTACCCTGATGAGAAATAGCAGACTTCATCTGTTTCTGCTCAAGGCGGACCCTCTCTGGCTGCAATTCCAGTTTGTTCCTCATGCGGGATGTTTCTTTTCCCATGTCCCAGACAAGGTCCCGAGGCCCATGTGACTTGTGTGCACATGGCTAGCAAGTCAGGAGCAGGCCATGACTCAGAACACAGGTCCAGGGGTGGGAGAGGGACCCAAGCCTGGCTCTGGGCCTGATGGCGGCTAAATGTCTGCATCTAGTAGGGTACGGTGGGGCATTAGCTCAACAAGGGCCAAGGTCACTCTGTGCAGCTGCAGGTGTGCAAATGTTCTCTGTGGGTTAGGTTCAAGACCAGATCCTCCTCCCATGCCCTCCACATGGACCCTAATGTCCACACGGTGCAGGGAGTGCAGTGCGAGGAAACACCTGGCTTGAATGCTGGTTAAGGGAGGCTGCTCAGAGGAAGGGGCCCCTTGTGCTGTAGCTATGAGGGTGGCCCAAACACGGGGAGGAGGGCCTGACTGGTCAAGGCACAGAGACAGGGGGAAGCAGGATCCCAAGTAGCCAGGTTCCTGTCCTGAGCAGTTTGCCTGGCTTAGAATACAAGGCTTCCCTCAAGGTTTGCCCACCCTCTTTGCTCCCTGCAGAGCCCAGTATGCTCTCTGCCCACCCTCCTGGGCACCAGCCTCACCCCAACCAGGCAGCAGGTCCTGGCTTTCGAGGCCCTCGGTCGTGTCGGGCTCTGACGTCAGGCTCTGTTTCCCTTTCAGAATCACGGCGAAGGACCATCTTTGAGTACCACCGCGTGGAGCTGGACCCCAGCAAGGTGACCAGTAGGTCAGCTGTGGAGTTCACCCCATTGCCCAGTGAGTAGGGGCCGGGCCCTGTCTGGGGGATTCTGTGTTCTGGGAAGGGCTTTGCAGTATGGCAGACTGCGTTCAAGTCCCAGGCCCACCACTGACCTATGCGGTCACCTGTGATCCAGGGCTCACGCCACCTGCCTCCTGGAGCTAGCAGCAGGCAGAGTTGAACTCTGACACAGTGCCACGCAGGCCCTGGTGTGCTGCTACACACTTGCAATGAGCCATGGCAGACAGAAACTTTTTTTTTTCTACTTAAAAGTCAGAATTAGAGGAAGAGACAGAGAGATCGTCTGTCTGCTGGTTCACTCCCCAAAGGCCGCAATGACTGAAACTGAGTTGATCTGAAGCTAGGAACCAGGAGCTAGGAACTTCTACTTGGTCTCCCATGCATGCCTTCCCGGACAAATATAAACAGGGAGCTGGATTGCAACTGGAACAGCTGGGACCCATTTGGAAACTGATGCCCATATGGAATGCTGGAGGATTGGCCTGTTGAGCTACTGCACCAGTCCCTCTCTCTTTCTTTCTTTCTCTCTCTCTTTTTCTTTCTTTCTTAAGATTTATTTTGTTTTTATTGGAAAGTCATATATACAGAGAGGAGGAAAGAGAGGAAGATCTTCCACCTGTTGATTTACTCTCCAAGCAGCCATAATGGCTGGAGCTGCGCTGATTCAAAGCCAGGAGCCCGGAACCTCTTCTGGGTCTCCCTGTCAGTACAGGGTCCCATGGCTTTGAGCTGTCCTCTACTGTTTTCCCAGACCACAAGCAGGGAGCTGGATGGGAAGTGGGGCTGCTGGGATTAGAACCGGCATCTATATGGGATCCCAGCATTTGCAAGGTTTAGCTGCTAGGCTACCATGCTGGGCCCTGCACTCGCTCACTTGCTCTCTCTCTCTTAAGATTTATTTATTTTTATTGGAAAGACAGATATACAGAGAGGAGGAGAGAGAGAGAGGAGGACCTTCCGTTCAATGGTTCTCTTTCCAAGTAACCGCACAGCTGGAACTGAGCCAATCTGAAGCCAGGAGCTTCTTTCAGGTGTCCGACATGGGTGCAGGGTCCCAAAGCTTTGGGTCATCCTCAACTACTTTCCCAGACCACAAGCAGGGCGCTGGATGGGAAGTGGGCTACCGGGATTAGAACCCGCAGCCCTATGGGATCCTGGCATGTTTAAGGCTTTAGCTGCTACACTATTGTGCCGGGCCCCATCTTTCTTAAAGATTTATTTTATTTATTTCAAAGTTACAGATGGTCTTTCATTGGTTCATTCCTGAAATGGCCACAATTGGTGGCAGGAGCCTGAGGACTTGGACCATCCTCTGATTCTTTCCCAAGTGAATTGTCAGGGAATAGATAGGAAGTGGAGCAGCCAGGACACAAAGCAACATCTATATGGGACACTGGTGCCACACGCTGAGGATTAGCCTGCTACACCACCATGCCAACCCCACAGAAGGACTTGTGACGTCCTTTAGCCTCAGCCCCAGGGACAGGAAAGGGATCCCAAGTCCATTGCTGATCATTCTTCTCAGGTTTACCTTAGAGGAGGGGATCTCTGGAGTGGAAAGGCAGAGCCTGCAGAACCCTCCCCACCTTGCCGAGCCCCAGCATGGCCAAGACCCCTGCCCTGCCCCGGAGCTCCTTGGAATGTGATCAGGACCACGGGGAGGACAGCACTCCCACGGATGCGTTTCTCAGAGGGTCTCCTGTCCCCTGCTGATTTCTGGCGCCTCCCCACATCCTCTGCTGCCACGCCTCCAGCCTGCTCTCTCCCCTCCTTCCCTGGGGGAGGAAGGAGCTGGCATCTTGCTGCTTCTTGCCCCATCCCTTCCCAAAGCAGCGGGCTCCATCAGGGAGCCTGGGTGAGAGTAGACGCCAGGCCTAGACTGGGACGGAGCCACATTGAACAGCAAGGACATCTAAGGACAGGGCTCTGGATCCCCCGACAGTGGCCCAGGCGGAAGCAGCGAGCCGCCCTGGGACTGTGTTTCTGGGACGCTGCCTGGGCGTTGGAGCCACACCCCTCAACCTCCCAGTGCATTTTCTGCGTATTTAGCACGTGGATGACGTCAGACACAGATGGGGAGCAAAGGTCAGGGGCTGCTAGGGGGATTGCAGGGCTTCTGTGTTTGTGGAAAAGGTTTTTTAAAATGTTCATTTGTTATTTGAAAGACACACACAGAGAAGGGGGGTGGTTGCAGAGAGAGGCATACAAAGGTCTCTTTACTCCTCGTTCACTCCTCAAATACCAGGGCTGGGCCAGGTTGAAGCCGGAGCCAAGAACTCAGTTCAGATCTTCCTTGGGGATGTTAGGGACCCAGCTATGGAGCCGGCACCTGCTGTTTCTCGGGAGGCACATGGCAGAAAGCTGGATTTGGAAGCAAGACCGGGGCTTCGCCCCGGCTCTCTGGCATGGCTGCAGACCTCTCAAGCAAGGCCTTTGAGGTTTATTTATTGTGTTTATTTAAAAGGCAGAGTAAGGGGCCAGCAGTGTGGGATGCAGGTTGAGCCACTTATTGCCTGAGATGCTGGCGCCCCCTGTGGGTCCTGACTTCCAAACCAGCTCCCTGCTGGTGTGCCAGGAAAGCAGCAGAAAATAGTCAGTTTTTGGACTTCTGCACTCACATGGGAGCTTCAAATGGAGTTCCTGGCTTGTGGCTTTAGCCCACTCCAGCCCCAGCTGTTGGGGCTATTTAGGGAGTAAATCTCTCTCAGCCTCTCTATAACTCTGCCTCTCAAATGAATAAACAAATCTTTTCTAAAAATTTAGGATAATTGACCTGACATGGAAATGGTGGTAAAACAGGCTAGTCCTCCAGCTGCAGTGCTGGCATCCCATATGGGCACCGGTTCAAGTCCCAGCTGCTCTACTTCCCATCCAGTTCCCTGCTTATGGCCTGAAAAGGCAGGATGGCTCAAGCCTTTTGAACCCTGTATCCGTGTAGGAGACCTGGAAAGAAACTCCTGGCTCCTGACAGGCCCAGCTTTGGCTTTTGTGGCCATTTAGGGAGTTAACCAACAGATGAAAGACTCTTTCTCTCCTCTATAAAATCTGCTTTTCAAATTAAAAAAAAAATCAAATCTTTAAAGCAAGTTTTTCAAAATAAAAGACAGAGCCACACAGAAATCTTCCATCTGCCGGTTTACTCTCTAAATGTTCACAACAGCTGGGGCTGCCCCAAAGCCAGGAGCCTGGAGCTCCATCTGGGTCTCTCACACAGGCAAAGGTTTGAGTACCCCAAGGGCTCACAGGCTGCCTTCCTGGGGTGCACGTGAACAGGAATCTGGCAGGACTAGATCCTTCACAATGGGGTTTCCCCGGTGGCATGTGGACTTCTGCCCAACATGTACCCCTCTCAGGAGGTTGGGTCCTGGCTGGTCTCTGGAGCCCCTGGTGCTGGTCAGGCTGTGACCTAGTGTCTGTCTGTCTGCTGAGTGGGTCTTCCTCTGTTGCTGGTGCTCCTTGTAAAGCTGTTAGCACTCTCTGGTTGGCTACTTCCGCGCTGAGCCCTTAAAGGGTGCACCGTTATTCCGGGTACGTGCCCTCGCCTCCTGGATATTCCTGGAGCCCCCTCCAGCAACGGCTCACACTCAGCCCTGTCTCTGCTCTGTCCTGCCCAGCCTGGGCCCCAATGATCACCCTCTCCTCCTTGCTATCGCTTCCTACCCTGTCACTCTTGGATCCTGGACTTCTTCTCCAGGAGGACTGCCGGGCCTGCTCCATCCCCCTGTCCGCTCACATGTTGTCCCTGGTGCACAGCCCCACAGTCCTCCAGTCCTTCCAAGCGGGAGCCTCCTTGGCTGCAGGCAGCTCCGGGGCAGGACCCTGTCCCTGACAGGCACTCATTGTGTGTTTGCTGAATGAGGGACAAGTGAATGGATGGATGAATCCCTCCCAGGCTTTATGGAAAAGAATGAGTCAGTGGCCAGCGATGAGGAGTGTGGATTGGCCTGTCCTCCTCACCCTGAGTCTATCAGGCAGCCAGAAGCTCAAGCAGGGCCTTTATGTTGTGTATCTGTGCTCTGGATTTGTTCATTTTAGCCACCTTCAGCCCTCTGATCTGGACGGGTCTCAAAGCTGCCCTATGCGCACTCACAGCACTCTTAGCTCCTTTTAGGGACCTCATGCACACTCCTGTTGTTACCATCATCTGATCCTTCACATGGCATGTGCGGCCCTGTGCACCTATGTGCCCCGGTGGAGTAGGGGTCGGCCTTGCTGTGGGATGCCCAATGCCAACCCAATACCTGACCTCTTGGCAATGCAGGAAGGGATGCTGGACTCAGGGCGGCCTTACGGACCTCACTGGTCCCATGCACAGTTGGAGTCACTGAGGCCCCATGGGAACCTAAGAAGCAGGGGCTGTGGCCTCTGGAGCCCACAGAAGGCCCCAGCCCCGAGTGGCCACTGCCTGCCTTCTCTCTTGTAGCCTGCCTTCAGCATCGGAGCTGCGATGCCTGCATGGCCTCGGACCTGGCCTTCAACTGCAGCTGGTGCCATGTCCTGCAGAGGTTTGTGTTTTGGGTCACTGCCCCATTTCTCTAGGTAGGCCATGGAGGAGGGGCTGAGGGTGACATGGTCCCATGCTGGCCTCAGGCCCCACAGCACACGGGGTGCCCACGTGATAGTGAGTGACTCTGACCCAGAGGTCCCGATGGAGGAGAGCATCTCCCTGAGCTGGTGTCTGACCAAGGTGTCTGTGTGGCCAGGCATGGCTGCCGGTGACTCAGGGCTTCCGGGAGCCTGTCCAGGCGTTCCAGCTGCTTCAGCTGCTTCCTCACAATCTGGCAAGGGTGGGATTTACCCTGGGATGAGGGCTAACTTGGGGGACTGGGGTCACTGGGAGCTTATGTGAAACATGCAGATTCCCGGGACCCACCCTGAACTCTGCATGGAGATCACTGGGAGACAGCCCAGGAATAAGCATTCTTCTTATTATTTTAAGCTTATTTTATTAGAAAGGCAGATTTATAAAGAGAAGAAAAGAGAGAGAGAAAGATCTTTTATCTACTGGTTCACTTTCCAAGTGGCTGTAATGGCCATAGCTGAGTCAATCTGAAGCCAGGAGTCAGGAGCACCAGCTGGTGCTGCACCGTTCCGAAGCAAGGAGTTCTTCCCAGTCTCCCACACAGGCGCAGGGTCCCACAGCTTTGGGATGTCCTCTACTGCTTTCCCAAGCCACAAGCAGGGAGCTGGATGGGAAGTGGAGCAGCCAGGACATAAACTAGCACCCATATGGGACGCCAACATTTCAAGGGGGAAGATTAGCCAATCAGCCATTGTGCCAGGCTCAGGAATCTTCACTCTTAATGTGACAAGTGCAACATCTGTTAGCTCAGAGATGAGGTCAGGGGTAACCCAAAGACCCACTGCTACTGTCACAGGGTGAGAACTCCATGACCCCAGACCTTAAGTTCTTTGGTTCTAGCAACATTTCCTGAAAACCAGGGTCGTGGGCATTGCAGGCATGGGAGCAAGCGTGTTGGGCTGGGCGCAGTGAGGGCTCCTCTAGCCATCTTGGAGTGGTTTTTAAGGCACAGGAAATTCTGGGTGAGCTCTGGTTTCAGATGTAGATCTTCAGCATAACTTAGTTTCCATGCCACGTTGTGTGTCATTTACAGGCAGTTCAGACTCACCTCTGTCCAAGATAAACACAAAGCTGGAGGGAAGAGGGGATACCGGGGATCTTTTGGGACTGGAAAACCTTAGCAACCACACAGCCCTCAGGGCACCCAGGAAAACTGCAAGGTGGGCTCTGTTCCCAGGCAGCTGTGCGTGCATCTGTCAGCATTTCCTCTGCTCTCTGTCAGCATCCAGGGGCAGAATGCCCTTGTCCTTGCAGGCAGCCTGCCCGGTACACAGGGCAGACTCAGGCTGGAGGAGCCCGGGGATGGGAGTGGATGCGCCTCAGGCCTTCTGGGTGTTCTCCCATCAGCTGGGCTTTTGTTCACTCCCCTGGGGCCTCAGTTTGTTTATCCTGTGCAATGGGCTGAGGGAGATGTGGCTAAAAGGTACTCTTTTAGTAGTACCCTGGTGTCAAACCACCTCAGATGGCAAATGTTTTTTGAAAACTCTCAGAGATTTTTGCCCGGAGTCCTGGAGACTCAGGATGGACCCCGAGTGTGTTCCCTGTGAGCCAGGTTTGGCAGGGTCCCTACCTGATGTGGATGTACTTGTTGAAATGCCAGTTCCTGGGCCTACCTCCAGCCATTGACTAGGTTCCTCAGGCACTTGGCGTGGCCCCTGATGTGCACGTCAGTGTGGCCTATTGTCTCAGCCAGGGAGAAGATCAGGATGACCTCACAGGCCCTGCTTGGGAGCTCACGGCTGGCAGCCACAGCGTTGAGTCAGCACCCAGCTGGAGCTGAGCCACCAGAGCTGCAAAATGGCTCAGAGGAAAGCCAAAGCCACATAACCCTGTGACCCACACTGGCCAGGCTCACCTCAACTCGGACACCACGTGACTTGATTGGCCAGAGCCTCTGCCCTCAGGGTGGTCAGGTCAGCCATAGCACAGACTCTCCATCATGGGGCCAGTGCTGATGACCTGACCAAGGTCCTTTCCTGTTAGTTTTCTGCATCCTCGGCTCTGACTGAGAGCTACAACCAAGTCCCGAAAAAGCCAGGGAGCAGGGACATATGTTTGACACACGGTTAAGCTCCCCTGGGGACATAGCACTCCATTTCAGAGTAGCTGGGTTTGAGCTCTGGATCCACTTTGGATTCAAATTTCCTATTGATACATATCCTGGGAGGCACTAGAAGATGGCCCAAGTACGTAGGCCATTGTCACCCACACGGGGACCTGGGTGGAGTTCCAGGCTTCAGCCTGCTTGAGCCCTTGCTGCTGTGACCATTAGGGAAGTGAAGTAACAGATAGAAGACTTCTCTTATTTCTTGCCTTTCAAATAAAATGACAATAAATAAAAGATAATCAGAGGGCAAGGCTGAGTCTGTAGAGCTGGCTGGTTGAGGCTTCTTCCACCCACAGCTGCTTTTAATCTGCTCTCCTCCCTTTCCTGGTCCCGCCCACCCTTCAAAGCCCCAGGGCCGGGGCGGAGGAGGGGGGAGGTGGGGGTCTCCCCTCTGGGCTGGGACTGGAGCTGTGTCTTTAATCATCTTACGCCACACCTTCTGTGGGTCCAGTCGGGGTTTCGAGGAGTGGGGCTGACTTCAATGCCAGCATTAGTTCCAGAAAAGGAGTGAGGGGTGTTGCAATGCTTGCCTTGCAGCATCATGGTGAGGGTCCCGTGCAATGGTGCAGGAGCCAGCCTCTGGCATTCAGGAGACACTTAGTCAATGGCTGTTCCTCAGGTCCTTGACTGAACCATGGCTCAGAATGAGGTGTTTGCAAACTACATTAAAAGCACAGTCCTTGAGGGTCTTGAATTCCCATTGAGCTTCCAGGGGCCTTCCCCGGGGGGAACCCTGCTCTGCACCCTTCAGCCGACACTCAGGGCAGCTAGCTGAGAATACAGACACCCACCTCTGCCCACCCTCTCCCTGCTCAGAGACCCCAAGGAAGCGAGGCTTTCCTATGCCTGGATTCTCAGCCATGCACAGCTCCAGGAGGATGGTCATGGCCAGCAGAGGTCACGCACTGCAGACAGTCTGTTAGACACACCTCTAGGCAGTGCCCTTGGGCCAGGGAGGGGTGGTGTGGAGCTAGGTCAGGAGGGTGAGGAAGCCCCACACTGCTTCTGGGGAGGGAGAAGAGGGAACAAGAGGGCCTGTCTAGTTCCCAGGGCCTGGGGAGACAGTGGGAGCCCCGCCCCTGAGAACTCAGCCCCCTCCTCTCAGAACAGAGGAAAGGAAGAGAGAAGCATCCATCTGTCCCCTCACACCTTGGATCTTTCGATCCTGCAGATGCTCCAGTGGCTGGGACCGCTACCGCCAGGAGTGGCTGACCTACGGCTGCGCCCAGGAGGTAAGAGAGCCAGTAGCCACAGCACCCTCTGCTGGTGACTCTTCTGCACGTATCTGACTCCAGGGGTTCTTGACCTTGAGAGGGCAGCTCCCCAGGAACCTCCAGTCCCTGCAGAGGGGGCATTGTGAGTGGTCTCAACCACAGCTGAGTCCTTGGGAGACTATCTGGTGAGCTGCCCGGGCTCCAGCCCTCTGCCTTTCCAGGGAGGCCATCTTCCTGAAAGCGAGGTGGCACCTGCCATTTAGAATCCCAGGCAAGCTCCTTCTCTTTGCTAGAATTTTCCAGAACACTTAGCCCTTACATCCTGTTCTCACCTCTCATCCCAGCACAGGCCCTGCTCTTTCCCTACCTCCCTCTCTGTCTCTCCCTGCTATGCCTTCCCGTCTCAAATAGCCTGCACCTGAACTCGTGCCTGGTCAGGGACTACCCTAAGCTTGCTCTTATTTATCATGACCCCAAGAGTGGGGACCCTGTCCCCATTGACAGGAAGGGAAACTGAGGCTCAGAAAGGTTTAGTTGACTTGGCCTGCAAGTCACTCACAGCCCATGAGGTGCCGGGCCTAATCCTTTCCCGTGTGCCCACTGCATCTCCTATGCGCACCCTGCGAGCTGTCCCTAGCCTGAAAGACAATGGTCTGCTCTGGTAGCCGGCACCTCTCCTTGGCGCTGACAAGCGCTCAGAGTCATTCTGTTCCTTGGCACCAATGCACCCCAGCCCCCTCCTCCAGGAAGGATCTGAAGCAGCCTACAGGTCAATAGCCCAGCCAGCCAGTGCTCACAGGGCCTGCACTGGTCCAGGGAGCAGCCCGGGGTCTCTCATGCAGGCGGAGGGCAAAACGTGCGAGGACTTCCAGGATGAGGACCACTACTCAGCCTCACCTGACAGCTCCCTCGGCCCCTCGGACGGAGATGTCACCACCTCCCCCTCGTCCCTCGCGGGAGATGGCCTCACCACAGAAGGTAAGGTTTGAGTGGAGGACAGCGACCACTCCAGCCCTCGCTGCCAGCAACATGATGGTCTCGAAAATGCCCCAATCATCCCCAGGGGCTGATGGGAAATCCTGCCCAGTGCCAGGGTCATTTTGCTCAGTCAGTGTCATGTCTTAAAAAGCAGCTGCGAGGCCCCAGTGGCTGCACAGGTGTGACCTGGCCACTGAGGGAGAGCAGGCTTGCTTTCACTTCAATATTGCTGTGGGCGCCAGGCCCAAAGGAGCACGGAATGCCCTCTATAGTCACCTGCTTGGCTCCTGCTCCTGGGACCTTATGTGGGCAGAGCCCTGGTGGGGTGGCATGCTCCATCTGGGTGGGCACTCCTCTGCCTGCCTGGTCTGGGCTTCTACCTGCCTTGAGGCTGGAAACTCTTGGTAGAAGCTACCAGAGGCCCACCCACTGCAGGTATCCTGCTTTTTCAAGACCCTTATGTGTTTGGGTCCAGTCTTTTAGATGAATTTATCCCTTATGTGAAGACTGAAAAACATAGGGTCCCCCCGGGTTCCTTGGAGCCCCATATCTGCTTGGAATAAGGAAAGCATTTCTAAATTAGTATTTCATTTAGCTGTTTATTTTAAAAATGGAATGGCAGGAAGATGAGTTCTTCCATCCACTGGCTCACACCTCCAATGACCACAACAGCTTTGGCTGGGCCAGGAACTCCATCTGGGTCTCCCCATGGGAGGAACGTATGTACCTCAGCCAGTATCTGCTGCCTCCCGGGGGCACACGGGTGGGAAGCTGGAATCAGAGCAGAGTCAGGACTCAAGCTGGGACAGCTTTCATACGGGATGTGGGCATTTCATACAGGAATTAAGATGCCAGGGGGTGGAAGGGGCAGGTAGTATGGGGGTGCTGGTTCGAGTACCAGCTGCTCCACTTCTGATCAATTTTTTTTTCAATTGGAAAGTCAGATTTACAGAGAGAAGAAAAGACAGAAAGATCTTGTATCTGCTAGTTCACTCTCCAAATGGCTGCAACAGCTGAAACTGAGCCAATCCAAAGCCTCCTCCTGGTCTCCCAAGCAGGTGCAGGGTCTCAATGCTTTTGGGTCGTCCTCCACTGCTTTCCCAGGTGCGTTAGCAGGGAGCTGAAAGGGAAGTGGAGCAGCTGGGACATGAACCAATGCCCATATGGGATCCTAGTGGGTGCAAGGCGAAGACTTTAGCCATTAGGCTACCCCCCTGGGTGCTCCACTTCTGATCTTGCTCCCTGCTAAGCAATCACATGGGGAAAGCAGCAGATGATGGCTTGCCAAGTGCTTGTGGCAGACCTGGATGAAGCCCCTGGCTCTTGGTGTTGGTCTAGTCCAGCCCTGGACATTGTGGCCATCTGGGAAGTGAATCAGCAGATGGAAGCTCCATCTCTTTCTGTGTGCATCTCTCCTCTCTCTGTGTAACTCCTTCAATTACATGAATAATCTTAAAAAAAAAAAAAAAAGAAGAAGATGCTGCTGGATTCCATTCTCATCTCAAGTTGCTCATTTGTTAGGAATGTGACAGCAGCGGTGACTTCCGATCCCATAGGTGGGGGATGTGGATGGAGTTCCTGGCTTCCGGCTCGGCCTGAGTCCGGTTCAGGCCGTCCTGGGCATTTGTGACTTGAGCCAGTGGATATGAACTCTGTGTCTCTCAAAGAACTTTTGAAGCATATTAGATCAAGTACCACTTAGAAGGGAACAGAACCCAGGGAGGCCCCTCAGACACCCAAGCTGCTCATTCAGAGCATGTTTGGAGCACTGCACTGGGCTGGGGGATACAGACCCCTGCCCACAGAGGGGTTTTCCTGAGCTACACAGCGGCAGGGACAGAGGGCTCTATGGGGAGCATCCAGGTCACCCTCAGGGTCAAATCCCAACTGGGAATTGCTCTGCCCCTGAGGGTCCTCAACACTCTTGCTCCTGTTGTGGTGGGCTGCCCACCCACCCACCCTCCATAGAGGCAGTCCTGTTTGCCACATGTTTTAATATCTGTGAGCCTCTCCTGCTGGCCCAAGAGTAGGCCTCATTTCTGTTTGCTGCGTGGCAGTCTCCAGCCAAAAGCACACATCAGAATGAGTGAATAGGATTAGGACTCTCTACAAAATCTTCAAAGAGTTCATGGAACATGCATAGTATGAAAACATTATCCATGCATTCCAAAATTATTTTACATGAAAATGAACTTTTAAGTCCATTCCCCCATGAACCTTTTCTTAAACACGTACGTATATATGTATGTATTTGAAAAGCATAGAGAAGGAGAGAGGACGTTCTAGCCACTGGTTCACTCTCCAAATGCCTGCCACAGACAGGGTCAGTCCATGCTGAAACCAGGAGCCCGGAACTCCATCCGGGTCACCTATGTGGGTGACGTGGGTCGTCATCCACTTCTTTCCCAGGTACATGAACAGGGAGGTGGATCAGAGGCAGAGCAGCTGAGATTCAAGCTGGCACTCTAATGTGGGTGCCAGATTCCCTGCGTCCCAGTGCCCACCCTGTCCGTGGCCTTCTGTCTTTGCATCGCTGTGTCACTCTGAGCGAGTTGCCTCCCCTAGCTGTGCTTCTGTTTTCTTGCCTCTGAAATGAACGGTCAGACTCCCGGTAGTCCTGTCCAGACCCCATGTGACAAAGGCTGCACTGACCCCACTAACCTGCTCCCTCTGTCCCTTCTCTTTGAAGATGACACCAAGCTGGATCCCTACGCGGGCGGAGATGGTGAGTCCACAGCTGCCTGCTTCTGCAGCCCCACGAGGGTGCTGCGGTCACCAGCCTTTCTGTGAGGGAGTGGAGGGACAGGCACAGCCTGAGCGTGCCAGACCTCCTCCTCCTGCTGGTGGTAAGGCAGGGGCTCCTGGGCACAGGCCTCTAGGCGAGAGGAACAGTATCCATTGCTCATGCCTCATCACAGCCTCTTGGCACGCCCCGTTCATTGCTCAGAAAGGAGCTGGAGGAGGGGGAAGGGCTGAGCCAGCACAGGTGTGGCTGGAGGGGCTGGGGGCCATGGCTCCTGTCGCATTAAGTTCCCTGTGAGTCCCAGCCCAGCTTAGCAGAGTACATAGAAGTATCCACAGCTGTCTGCTCTCTCCTGCTCCCTTTAGTGCTTCCCTGCCCTAACGGTCTCTCCCCAGGTCTCCAGAACAACCTGTCTCCCAAGTCCCAGGGTGCCCCGGTGTCCCTGGGCACCGCCGTGGGTGTGGCACTGGCGATCCTGCTCGTGGCAGCCATTGTCCTGGCTGGCATTTACATCAGTGGACACCCCACCTCCAACGCTGCCCTCTTCTTCATCGAGGTCAGTGCAGAATGGCGCTGGGCCACCCTGTCTCTGCTGCTCCCCACCTCGCCCCTCTCTGTCAGCTCCACTAGGGCACATCTCCCAGTGTCCCCAGGCAGATCCTCAGCCCGCCTCTCCTTCGGAGGCAGCCCCTGCCTTATTCCTCTTTTCATAAGATCAGAAAAGCAAAACAGGGAGGGAAGGAGGAAGAAATGCCATCCAGTGCCCAGAAGGGGCTCATCGCCAGAGATCCGTGACCTCTCATGCCCACAGTCCAGGCTTCGTACTTGGCTCTGCCCCTCATGCCTGCCTCTGCAGGGGTTTCAGGCAAAGGTCGACAAGCCCAGAGAACATGGGCTGCTCTGCCTGCAAGCGCTCCCCTAAATGTTGCAGCTTGGGGTGTCCCGGGCACCTGAGCAGCCAGGGGAGTGCACACAGGAAGCCCAGCTCAGCCCTGTCACTGGGCTGTGGGGCTCAGCCACTCTGGCTGCCAGGGCCCCACTTTGCAAGCCCGATGTGACATGGCCCCTTGGGGACTCGGCCTCCTTGGTGGGGGTCCAGAGCCCACAGGCCTGACTCAGCCAAGCCTGGCTGTTTCTCTCCTCTTTGTTTAAGTGATTGTGCCCTTCTCTTCTCTTCTCTTCTTCTCTTTTTAAAATCATGTATTTATTTGAAAGAGAGTCAGGAAGCTCTCCCACCCACGGATTCTCTGCCCCAAAGGCCTGCAGCCGTTCAGGCTGGTTAAGGCCGAAGCCAGGAACCTGGAACTCAGCTCAGGTTTACCACCTGGATGGCAGGGACCCAATCACTTGAGCCATCACCTGCCATCCAGGAAGCTGGAATTGGAAACAGAGCTAGGACTCAACTCCAGGTCTTCCAGAATGGAATATGGGCATTACAATTGAGAGTCTAACTGCTATGTCAAATGTTCAGCTCAATTCCATTTCTTCTGCAAAAGGATGACCCCGGCCAGTCATTTGTATCCTTAGCTTCCTGGGTGTCTCCCGTAAACTACAAGCACTCCATACTACAGAAATTCTAGCAAGGCAGGTCTAAGCTGGGACCAGGAATTTGCATTTGAATAAACCCAAGATGCGGGGGGGGGGGGGGGGGGGGGGGGGGGGGTCCCAACCCTGCCCATGTGCCATTGACTGTAATACAGGACCTGTGCTATCTTGAAAGTTATCTTGGCATTTCCAGAGCCTTCCAGATCATTCCAGTCTTCTCTGACCTACTGCCTCACTTTCCACTGTCCCAGGTCTCTACCCAGTCGCTGTAGCTTTTGGCTGTGTTTGGCAGATCATGCAGTGAGGAATAAAATGGCCTCCCTCTAGTCTCCGGTTCCTCGCAGGTTTCCCAGTAGTCCAGGAATCACAGCTGCGCACCCTTTGTAGAGGGGCCCTCGTGTCACCTGGTTCTGAGCAAGGAAGGGCCCTTGTGGGAGTTGTCGATGCTGTTCCGGGGGCACGGTCCTCACAGGAAGGACCATGTTACTGACTCTGCCTCTGCACCCTCCCTGCGCCCACAGCGGAGACCTCACCACTGGCCAGCCATGAAGTTCCGCAACCACCCTAACCATTCCACCTACACAGAAGTAGAGGCAGCAGCCCACGAGAAGGAGGGCTTCGTGGAGGCCGAGCAGTGCTGAGAGCTCCAGGAAGGCAGACCCAGGAATTGCCACGAAGATGAGTCAATGCCGGCTGACATGTGCCCTGGGCTGGGAAGGGTCAGCGGTTCCTGGTGTGGGAGCCATGCTTTCTCATCACACCCCACATTTCTGGAGAGAGGGCACAAAAGCCACTACATGGCTTTTTCAAAGGGACAGTAACCTAAGCTCTTCAGGTTAGATGGCAAGAGTCATTCCTGCTGGGTCCCTAAGTGATCCTCTCTGTCACTGGCCCAGGGCCTACCACCACTACATGGATGCCCTGCTCCCACTTCCCTAAGCTCCTGTGTGTGATGGAGCTCGCCAAAGCCTAACCTGGGGCAGATGCATCCTGGGGCCCATAGACTTAAGAGCTGGTCCTCCTGGCTATAGGGCCGTCACTTTGGCCCCGGCTTCCAAGGCTCTGACAGCCTGAGACAGAATCCTCCACCCGTTACACAGCCAAGCAGGGGAGGAAAGCTGTGGGGGCAGAGGCGCATGCACAGGCTCGGCTCCCTTGCCCAGGCCTTTCTGCTAAGACCCTGTCCTTCCGCCCCAGATGCATGCAGCTGGTGCCAGTCACGGGCCTGGCAAGCTGTGTTGTACCTGCCACAGAGACTGTGCAGGGCTCCTTGTCTTGGATGACATGTTTGAGGCTCGTCATCCTCTGTGGCCTGTCCTGTTGGCAGCGCCGGGAAATACCTCCACAGCAGGCTCGGCTGATCCAGCATGCCTCCTCTGAACTAGACCTTCATAGCCACTAAAGGCAAACAGGGTGGCGAGAGGCGCAAGGGCACCCCTCTGACTGCCAGAACAGCTGGGGCAGAGGGAGCTGGCACAGGCAGGCAGGGCTTTCCACACAAGACCTTGACCTGAAAAGTGACCTCTCCCCAGTTCTGCCGATCCTGGGGGCCGGCAGTTGAGGCTCCCAGGCGCACCCCAGTTTGGAGGGCACCTTGTCCCAGTGATGAGTGTTCCCGAGGGCGTATGTCACTCCCAACTGTAGCTCACGCCCCATCCAAGGAAAAACTGTCCGCTGCAAATAAATGTTAAATTTCGGTCTCCACTTGGCCACACCCTTCCGTGCGTGTCCCCAGGGACTCTGTGAAGGGAAGAGGGTGTTGCATGCAAGGCCGTCTGGTGCGGGTGTCCTGGGAGCTGGGGCTAGGCAGTCTACATAGAACCAGACACTTCCAGCCACGGGGTGGGTGGCTTTCCTGGTGTTCCGTGGTTCATCTCCCTGGTGAGGACATGAGTGACAATCGATCAGAAGCAGGTCACAGGCGGAAAAGTCTGTGACCTTTCACTTGATCTTGAAAGGCCGAGAAGTGACGCGTTTGTGACCTTTATGGGTCTGAAATGGTGGGTGGAGCAGTTGCTGCGCAGTGGATGGCTCCAGTCGGCTGGTACCCACTCACCAATATACCCCTTCCCTGTTTTGGGTTGCAGAAGGGAGAGACCCTTGGAGTGCAGACAGGGGTAGTGATGTGGGGGAGCCCTCTGCTGCTCGCCCTCATGGCTGCAAGAAGGAAAGCTGAGGATGCCAGCCCCAGGCAGAGCAAGCCTGGCTAACCACAGAGGTGTCACGGCGATGGCAGCAGGGCAAGCCTAAAAGGGTCATTGAGAGAGGCCAAAGCACGAGAACATCTAGAACTGGGAGCCAGGCACCCCAGACGTGGGCCAATCCCCGACCTCTGGAGGCTCCATGTGCTGAATGTCGCTCTGATGGACTCGGGACTTCTACTCCAAGGTGAAGAGCAGCTTAGCTGGGCAGCCATGCACTGACCCTTCCCCTTCAGAGATTACATATGGATCTCATGTTCAGCCCTCCGACCATGACGGACGATCACACAAGGATGCATGGGTGAGTAGCAGTGCTGTGGAGTAGCAGGTTAAACTTCTGCCTGTGGTGCCAGCACTCCATAGGGACACCAGTTCCAATCCAGCTCCCTGCTAATGGCCTCGGAGAGCATCCCCAGCCTCACCAGCAAGGCCTTGGGCCCCTGCACCCACATGGGAAACCTGGAAGAAACTCCTGACTTCAGATCAGCTCAGCTTTGGTCATTGTGGCTATTTGGGGAGTGAACCCGCAAATGAATGATCTCTCTCTCTGTAGCTCTGCCTTTCAAATAAAAAGGAAAAAAAAGTATTTAAAGGCACATAGAATTTCACATATGTGGACCCCCAAGCCATCTCAGCAGCTCCCTCCCTAGTCTCCAGGGAAAACGCGTCATTGGCAGGTGCTTCCCCTTCTCCACTGGGGGTCTTTGGGGACCCTTGGGATTTGGGTCTATTAGCATCCACCACTCACCAGGAAGTTGCTACCCTGTGACACACAGAGCACTGGGAAGGCTTTTCACTGGACCCTGAGATCAGGAGACCTAAGAAAGGCTCTGTTTGTATTAGAACTCTTTCTTCAAAACAATATTTGTTTGAAAGGCAGAGTGACAGAGATCTATTCACTGGTTCATTCCCAAAATGGGCACAACAGCCAGGGCTGGGCCAGGCAGAGCCAGGAACCAGAAACCTCTTCTAGCTCTCCCACGTGGGTGGCAGGGACCAGGGACTCGGGCCTGGGCGCTTTCTCAGGTGCATTGGCAGGAAGCTGCGTTGGAAGCAGAGCAGCCAGGACTCAGAATCAGCACTCCAACATGGGATGTTGCAAATGGTGACCTAACCCACTGTGCCATGACACCAGCCCCAGTACCAGAACTCTGAAGGAGGCTAGCAGGAAGTGGGAATCCTCATTCATTAGGCACCTACTACATGCCAGACACTGTTAACAGACTTGCCAAAGGTCCCACAACTACCAAGCAGCAAAGACAACCGCGTGGCCAGGTCCTTCCCACTTGAGGTTCTCTGTGCTCCTTGGGACAGGGTCAGAACCTCACTGTTGCGTGGATTGTGGAAGCAGATTATTACGTGGCTTAAGATGGAATCATCCAAGGCCTGGCATAATAGCGTAGTGGTAAGGGCCTCACCTTGCACTTGCCAGGACCCCATATGGTTGCCGGTTCTAATCCTGGCGGCCCCGCTTCCCATTCAGCTCACTGCCTGTGGCCTGGGAAAGCAGTTGAGGACGGCCCAAGGCCTTGGGACCCTGCACCTGCATGGGAGACTCAGAAGGGCTCCTGACTCCTGGATTCGGATTGGCTCAGCTCCGGCCTCCCACGTAGAGGATCAGATCAGCTCCCTGCAAGCTTGTCCCAGCTCTGGGCTGCTGCTCCCGGCCTGGACGGAGGACGCGGGCTGACTTCATTCCTCACAGCGGCCGGAGACACAAGGCTGCCAAGGGAAGGCCAAACCTCCACTGGAACTGCTGACATGACAGAAACTGTCGGGGCGGGGTAAGGGTGAAGCGGTCAGATTTTTCTCATGTTCACAGAACATTCTTCCATGCGGTCCCTAGAGATAGCTCAGTTGTATCCACTGTTTTCCACAGAGCTCAAAGCTCTGAAAAAGAAACACCTGAATATAAGCCAATAGACTCTAATGAAACATTCCTGGCACCTTGGTCAGAACCCGCCCTTCCAGGTCAATCTGACAGGATTTTTAATTTAGAAAAATGGGCTATTAACACCCAGCCATCCATGCGGGGCCCAAGAGACCTGGGAGGACCCAGGGCAGCCTGCAAAGTTGAGTAAAGTCAAGAAATAGATGACATGTTCTCTCCATCGACCTAGCCTACACTCCATCTCTCATTGTGATAACGGGAACCCAAACTTCAACACTGGATAGCAGTAAGTCAAGGTGTCTTCTTGTTGCCGTGCGTGGAGTGATAGGAGGCTGTGGCCCACGGTCACTAAGCCATTGCTGTAGTTTTGCCTTTCCAAAAACAATAAATAAATCTTAAAAAGTGGGGGCGGGAGGGGCGGGACCTGGTATGGTAGCTTAGTGGCTAAACTCCTCACCTTGCATGCTCTGGGATCCCATATGAGCACCAGTTCATGTCCCAACTGTTCCACTTCTCTTCTGGCTCCCTGCTTGTGGCCTGGGAAGCAGTCGAGGACAGCCCAAAGCCTTGGGACTCTGCACCTACGTGGGAAATCTGGAAGATTCCTGGCTTCAAATCGCTCTGCTCTGGCCTTTGTGGCCACTTGGAGAATGAATCAGCATATAGGAGATCTTTCTCTCTGTCTCTCCTTCTCTCTGTAAATCCGACTTTCCAATGAAAATAAATAAATCTTAAAAAAGAAGAAGAAGAAAAGAACCTGGGTGAGCACAGGTGCCTGGTATATCTCCTGCCTACCAGCAGGCCAGCACTCCCCGGGTGACCAACAAGGACTATGTTCCCCCAGTCCTGCCCCCACACCCACTCACAGTGAAGGGTTTCTTTGTGGGGCGTGTCCCAGCCCTCACAACACTCTCACGCTCATGCCCAGGTGAGACCATCAGAGCACCCACCTGCTACCAACCTCTCCCAGCCTGAGCCTGGCACGATGGCAGGTGCAGGCAGAGGGCATATCCCACAGTAACAGATACTCACTCATGGTCACGCCTCATCTCAGCCTCACAGAGCCCCTTAAGCCTGGGCGGGTGGGAACTGGCATCCCACCCAACTAAAGGAAACCAGAGCTCAGGGCAGCAAGTGAAACTTTGGCCCCCTTCCTCTCACACGCAAACCTGTCAACCTGTACGCAGATGTTTGGACACTAGGACACCCACGTGTCGCATCATGGGACTTGGCCTTCGTCCTGGCTCCAGTTCAGCTCCCAATTCCAGCTTCTTGCTAATACAGATTCACCCTGAGAGGCAGTAGATGATGGCTTAAGGAATTGGGTCCCTGCCACCCATGTGGGAGAACTGAGATGAATGCAGTGGTTAGGGCTGGGCCGAGCCAAAATCGGGGGGCAGGAGGTTTCTGGTATCCCACATGGGTGCAGGAGCCCAAGGCCCTGGTCCATCCTCCATTGCTTTCCCAGGCACATTAGTAGGGAGCTAGACTGGAGCAGCTGGGCCTTGAACCAGCACTTGTATGGGATGCCAGCACTGCAGGCAGCAGC